TTTTGATGAATGTGGCCATTCTTCTTCTAATTTCTATCTTGTGGGTGTCTTTTAAGATTTCCATGTAGTATCATAGGCTTTTTCAAGATTGAAATAGGTCAACACTACCTGGTAACCTCATCATGGATGAAGGATTCAAGCCGTACTAGTTGATCATTGGTACCTTGTTTTTTTTTTCCAGAAACTGCTTTGATATCTAGATAAGAAATTATGTTTCTCCAGAGGCCACATTAGTCGCACATTTATCATTCTCTCCATTGTCTTGCATATCCAGCTTGTTAGTGCAATGGGTCAATAAATTTGTTGGAATAAAATTGTCTTTGCCAGGATTGGGATGATAATAGACTCAAGCCATGATTTTTGGATTTGTCATTGCATCATATATCATTAAAGGTCTGTCGGAGTACTGAAAGAGAGGTTTCTGGTAGATTTTTTAAAAATTGTTAGTGGATCTTGTCTGGGCCAGTAGCTGTATTTTTTTAACTTTTACTTATGGAGTTTTTCTTTTTTTATTTTAGAGAATGCTGTATTCTTCTTTGTTGTTTGAGGTGAATATAAGTTTTTCTTTTTGCATAATATTTTTTATTTTTTAAAATTTAGGGTGAGTAATGATCTGTTGAGGAGTTCCTTTGGAATTCTGTTGCTATCAGATTATCTATTTCTTTTTTTCCTGTGCATTTGTCTCCATTTAGATTGGTTAAGTGAATTGCTGAAGTTTGTGTTGTTTTTCCACTTATTTATTTTCCTAATTATTTCCATTGTTTTATTTATTGGTGTTTGATTGTTTAGATTGGAAATGTAGTTTCTCCAAGTTGTTTTTTTTTTTATTATACATAATGTTTTTGCTCAAGCTTGCTGTTAACTGTTGCAGATTGGTTGTGGTTGTGTTATATAGGAATACTGTGATTATTTTTTCATATTTTCACTGATTCTTTACATTCTGCTGTGAAAAAGGGTTTTGATTTGAGTCAAAAGTTGATGGGAAAAAATGAATCAAAGAAGGACCTAATCAGTCTGATTGAACCAAGCAATTTCTTTAATACTGAATTGCTTGCATGTGCATATTTTAACAAATATTAATATTCTTTTTTTATTGTTTAGAAACATTTCATAAAATTATGCAAAGTTTGATTTCTGAATATAGCATCTATTTTATTTTGCCAAATGCAAAATTCTTTTTGTAATTAAATATTAAACAATATTCCATTTATAAATTGCAAAATTGAGAAAAATATGTATGGTTTTTTCTTTTCAGTGTCAATATAAATGAAAATAACCACCATATTTGTTGGTTGAACTTTCAAGACAAATTTATCAAATTATATAAAAATACATCTTATATACAATGTTTAAATACAAAAACCAAATTCAAAGGCACAATTTGGTTTATATCTAGAAATAGATATATTTATTTTTAATTTCTCATGTGAACACAGCATGTATTTTCAAATTGGCAAAAAATCTTTCAAATAAAATTGTTCAGATAACAAAAAAATCAGTTTTTACTAATTTTTCAAACTTAAATTGCCATTATCAAAAAATAAGTTCATATTTAAATTTTCATGAAGAAAAGCATAAAATTGACACTCATCTTGATGAAATATCTCAAAAATTCATGGACAGCATTTAAAGCAGATACAATGAACAACATGAGAATGGAAATTAAGAGAAGCTTTAGTAACATCAGCAATTGAGATCATCCCAAAGAAAAGAAGATAAAAAAAAAATGGAATGTAATGACAGATGAAATTCTCAACATGATGAAAAGGTGACAAAAGAAACAATGCCAAGGTATGGTACAGAATATAGGACATTGCACAAAGAAATTAAGAATAACTTCTTGGAAAAGTACTAGAAGCTCTAAATCAATGCCAAATTTATTGCTGATATGTTAATGGTTATTATTCAATTTGTCTATCAAGCTTTAGATAAGAACAGCTCATGTTGTGGTTCTAAATATCTTGAAGGCATTTGACAGGATTTGGCATGCTGGCCTTCTTCACAAGCTCAAAGGCTACAGTGTCTTTGGATGAATATTTTGCTTAATCCAATCATTCCTAATGAAGGTCACATTGAACAGACATGCTTCTAGTTGTTTTCATATTAATACGGGGGTCACCCAAGGCTTTATCCTTGGAACTATATTGACATCAACAACGTACCAATGTCATCAGTTACCAACTAGTAATTTATGCAGATGACACAATTGTTTACTCCTGTCTTAGTAGAAAGTCCAACAAGCTAAAACTGGGAAATGCTCTCAAAAAGGACTTCCAATCAATGGCTAAATGTGGCAATGAATTTTAATGCCTCCAAAATAAAACTGCTTTTATTTATTCACCATAGAGAACCTTTTCTACCTAACATCAGCATGGCTGATGCTAACCTACAAGAGAGCAACTCTTTGTTTGTGATTTCTTGGCTCACATTTCCACTGACATAAAATTGAGTTATTATATTGAATCACTTGCTAGGTTTACTGCAAGGAAAGTTGGTTCACGGTGTTGCACCAGACAATTTTCCTTGTCACAATCTATCTTGCACATTTATAAATCTACCATTCATTCAAGCATTGAATATTGCTGCCATATCTGGTCTAGTGTTCCTATTGTGAATATCTCAAGATTCTTGACAAAATTCAAAGGAGGCTCTATAATGTAATCAATTCTGACCTAGCATCTCAACTTCACTCACTTTCCCACTGCCATGATGTAGCTTCCCTTTGTCTTTTCTAAAAATATTTTCATGGCAATGTTCTAAGGAGCTTTTCTCAACTGCATGAATTTAAGTGTACTACTAGATTGGCAACTAGGTATCACAGTTTTACTGTTCAACTAGCTAGATGTAACCATATGTTTTATTCTAATAGTTTCTTTTTTCACACATCTTGCCTGTGGAACTCCCTTCTGATTTCTTGCTTCCCTGCCACCTACAATTTTCAAAAATTTAAATACAATGTCAATCACTATCTTCTGTGTTGCTGAATCTTTAACTGTCCTTTCTCCTCACTAAAATGTTCTAATTCTATTTCCTTCTCAGTAAGCCTTTGCACCTTAATGGCAGTATTGCCTTGCTTGCTTTGAAATGATTAAAAAAAATATATATATCAAGTGAGCCAACAATACTGTTTGAATTAAGTTAGAGAGATCTTACAGCGACTATAGCATTAAATATTTATTTATAGATTTATAGCTCTCACAATAAACCTAGAAGAAAGTTATTAAACTTCTGTAATATCCAAAGTGGAATAGAATTATTAGCCTAGTACTTTCACATCAAGATTCAAATTTAATAAGACAGTAAAAGTACAGACACCAAACAAGTGTTTTTCTGTGTAGCACTGAACAAAATCAGACAAGAAATAAAGATATATTTTTCAAGCAACTATCAGCATCTGTATAAAAACTTAAATTGTTAAACTGCTCAACTCCTTATGCTCTCATCATTTTCTTGACTAACAGTTAACAGATGCTTTTTCTGTTTATTCTTCTTCAAATAAACAGTAAGCAGCTATTACACTAATATGCCAAAATCATGGGATCCAACAAAGTAAACCTGGCAACTACTTTTGAAAAGGACCTCCAATCAGTGGTTAACTAGGGCAAGAAATGACTTGTAAATTTCAATGTCTCCAAAACAAAACTGCTTTCATTTAATCACCATAAAGAAGCTTTTCTGCCTGCCATCAAGATGGCTGATGTTGAACTCCAGAAGAGCAACACTCTATGTCTTCTTGGCCTCACATTTTCCACTGACATGTGGAGCAACTCTAAGTCAATTGCTATGTCTGTTGCAAGGAAGGTTGGTTCACTGTGTTGAGCTAAAAATATTTTCTTGTCAGAATTCATCTTGCACATTTATTCATCCATGTTGTGTTATCTGGTTTGGTTCTCCTACTGTGCATCACAAGATTCTTGACAAAATCCAGAGAGGGGTCTAAAATACAATTACTCCTGACTAGGCATCTTGTCTCTAGTCACTTTCTCACAAATGTAACATGCCTTTCCTCTGTCAGTTCTACAAATATTTTCATGGCAGCTACACAGACAAGCTTTTATTCCTGGTGCTCCAACTACATGAATTTAAGTGCACTACTAGATTGGAAACTAGGTATCACTGTTTTCCTGTTGAACTAGCTAGATGCAACTGCCACTTCTACACTAACAGTTTTTTTTTCTCACATTTCCCACCTGTGGAACTCCTTTTCACTTTCTTTCTTCTCTGATAACTACAATCTTCAAAAGTTTAAATGCAATGTCAATCACCATCTTCAATCTTCTTGAAACCTGTTCCTTTTTTGTTATTTCCTCAATCTTCACTATTTTCAATCCTCTCATTCTCTTTCATTTCCTGTACCCACCTGCATTCTAGTGGCGTTGTTGCCTTGCTTGAGATGAAACAATAAAACAAAAACAAAACAAAAAAAAACATAATGGAGAAATCTATTCACACAAAAAATCCTGCATCTACGCATATCAGGGAGCTGTAGACAACTCCAAGACAGCATGGCTCAATATCTCTCCAGAGGCAACCACTTATGAAAGTAAAGGCCACATCAAGTTTCTGTACATCACAGAGCTAGAGGTGATCATACAATAATAGATGCCTATCCCATAACTTTTGACATGTCAGTGTATATAGTACATACTATAAAATAAAAATGATATAAAATGTAGTTTCTAAAATACTTTTCTTCATTGATTAGATATATATACTAAGAAAGTTTATTCTAACCATTACTAAGATGTACTTCACTTCAATAAGTAAGAATATAAGCAAAACTAATTATTGATTAATCCAAACAGAAGCTGAAAAATAAATGCTTGAACTAATATTCTGTTTTTTTGTTTCTGATATAAAGAATATTATTAATAATCTATTAACTAAATAACAGTACTACAACTACTACTACTATTAATAATAATACTTAATAATCTAATAATAATAAAAAATAAATAATAATAAAATATAATCTAAATAAGCAAGAAATATTGACTTACTTGAGGCAATGCAAGCAAATAGGAAAGACCAAGTGTTAAGTCTGTTCGAAGAGTAGCCAAGGCTAGTCTTAGAAGCACTGCAACAGAAAGGTTGATAAAAAATAAATGTATAACTTGGAACAAAATCTTATGATTTAAAAAAAAAATGAAAGTAGCAACTTGTGAAAATGTCTAATATTTAAATTTATTCAAGATAATCATTGTAATAAGAAGCTAAATGATTTACATAAAAAACATTCCCCAAATAAACTTATTAAATGCTATATAAATGCATCAGATGAATTTATTAAATGATGTATGGTCAATGGTCAATATTAATTTTTGACTATTATTCATTTTATTTCTGTTGCTTTTTATTACCACTTCCAAATAGGATAAATAAGAAATAAATTGATTGATTTGATTTTTTTTTTGTTATGTCTTATCAATTATTTATGGGTTATTTAAAGCTGAAACATATTTTGGAATGTAAGAATAATTCTTTCTTTACAAGTGAATATTGCATTAAAAACTTTTTGAGAATAACAATTATTTTCCAGATACAAGTCCTACTATTTAGCCTACGACTGAAGGGAGAAGATGAATTCATACCTTTCACAAGTGTATTTGTGCATAACGGATAGGAAATAAAGAAGAAATATCTGGTAAGACATGTTCTGAAGGACAACAGTTGTGATTTCAAATCTTACATGTGCTTCACTCAACAAAATATTTAGTTTAGGAAATAGCAAAACATTCAGCACAAAGTATAGCATCAAATCATGAAATCTGAAAGCTAAATTATTTTTTTTACAAGTAAACTAGGGATATAACTTGTAAAGTAAACTGGATACAATAAATTTCTATGAAAATGTTCAATATTAAAAAAGCTGATAATATTTTGGGGCAATTATAATTACTTCTTCATAAAGCTTGTTTCAATAATGACAAAAAAACCTAAATACTAAAAAAAGAAAAGAAAAAATGATATTACATTTACATTGTTCTTACCTTCTGTTGTTGGTCTATATTGCTCTCCTTCTGTAAGGCTTTCCTCCAATTTAGCAGTTCGTAATATACTGCTGCTTGTCTCTATTGAATGTGGAAGTTGGCATTCAAATTTCTCAAGATCTGCTATTTTCTAAAAAAGAAAAATTTAAATAATTTGTTCTGTCATTGGGGAAAACATTATGAAGAATATCATTGTAAGAAAAATATTCCAAAATAATATCACAACAAATAAAAAGTCGTCTGTAGAAAATTGTGATAGGCATTACCTTCCCCCAAACACCATTCATCTTCATTGATCACATCAAATCAAAAAATAATTTCTTCTTAAAAAAAAATACACTGCAAAGCTGTTCAAAAATCTGCTTTCCAAAGTAAACAGAAAAGGCAAGAAATATAATTACTTGTGAGGTAGAACTTTGGGTGACATATTTTCAACATAAACATGCAAATGAACATTCAATGATTTTTATAGACTAGCATACTTTGTTGTTTTTCTCATATTTCCCCAGCATAAACCTAAAGAAAACTAGAGTGTACATAAGCTAAAATACTATGATAAAACCAATGAAGATGAATGTGCAAATTAAAATAAAATGTAAAAGAGATGCATAAAATATCTAACCTGGGAATTATTTGATGAGCAGAAAGGGTAACAGTTATGGGTAGTGGAATTGATGAAGTGAGTTCAAATTCCAACCTAATCTACATTCACTTCTCACTAATAGCTTTGGGAAAGACATGAATCCATCTTCTCTTATTCATAGATGATAAAGAAAAAGAATCTGTGGACAGTCATGATCACCTACAACCTGAAGGGACATGACATTGAAAAAAACAATTCTATCACACCACAGAAGTACAACACAAGATCTTTTTAATAAAAATTTCTCCAAAAATTCTTTACAGACTATCTTGACTTTATTGGGAGGGGGATACTGTCCAGAGAACAATCTTTGCTGAAGCAATTTACCTCACCCAATAGTCTATAAACACTTTTTTAAATTCCTGAATGTTAAAAATAATCACATCAAATGTTACAGATTTACATATAAAATGCAATCACAATCTATGGCTGAAAAAAAAAGTGAATTGTTGCTAAACAAAGAAAGTGAGATTCTCCATCTGCCAATATACTTGTTAATAATTTTCAACAAATTTTATAAAAAACTTAATTTCAATTTAGACTTTTTAATATTTAAAAAAAATCTAAAGTTCTTATAAAAATTGTGGTTTATTATGATCTAAAAAAAGTGAATAAGAATGAAGAATATCACATACTTACCAATTCCTGCCATAGAATTAAGCTAGAGGGAAATTGATATCTGGGGCTGTAAGCATTAACTACTTTCATTCTTTTATTGAAGTGCAAAGTTATTTTTTTCTACCATTTCTACTTCTTTTTAATTTTAGGTCCTGCTTGGTACTCTAAAACTAATGTGATATTAAAGACCCCACCTACCGTATATGAACATTTATTACCCACAATGCTTTGGTCCTTGTCCATAAAAACTCTCTCCTCAGTTTCTTTAATGGTGTTTGTATAAGTGACACATCTTCCTCTTTGTTTATTCAAAGCAGAGAAATTTAAAACTTTCAATAAATTGATATGCATGTTTATGATTTTTTGCCAAATTTCATATTTTATTCATAATGAATAATTATCTGTGTATAAGAAAAATGTTTTACAGATATTTATTTATTCATGAACAAGTATAACAAATATTTACCTTGTCTGAAATACTGTTTTCAATGACTTCTATATAAAATGGATGGCAACCTTGTACATCAAAAGTTTTGTTCAGAGTTTCTAATTCTGTATCATCATTTTCAGAGTATCTGGAATCATGTGTAGGAACTTTTTTCACCAAATTTTGAATAGTATTGTGCCACCATTTAGAATCAATAACAGTAGACAGTACTCCCTTAGTCATTTGACCAGTGGTCAGCAGAATATCTTTGGTCTGATTGATAACTGCTATTGAGGTTTGAGGTTTTTGTGTAGGAATGAAAAAATCAATTATGTCAGATGTAACACTGTTGCTCATGTCAAAACCCTTCTCCAAAAATGGAGGGCAGTTACCAAATTCAGCATTTACTTGGTCATACAAGAGCTACAAAAAAAAAGTAGAATCTATATAAAATAAAACAAAAAATTATATTGTTCATATTAATTTCTGATATGAGATGTGTGTTTAATTCCAATATTTATTACTCCAACTCATTAGGCTTGAATTTGCAATTTATAATTTATTACAAAAAAATGATTACTTTTTAATGCTACACATTTCAATCCATTGATAATGTGAAGAGAGTAAAACAAAGATTATAATTAAATGTGTAATTTTATATTTTCACAATAACATTGATGACAATATTTTCAAGGGATATTTATTTATTAAATATACCTTTTGAATTTCAGTGTATAATATCTGATTGTATTAGAAATATTTACAAAGCCTTATTTGGTGGTATGAAATTTTACTGTGCAACTCAAGGGTCTTTGAAAATATTATGAATAAATATATATAATAGTTATTAATATTCATTTTATAATTTCATCAATATGAATATTGCTACAGACTTTCAACAACAGCAACAACTATAATGGATAGCACATATAACTCAAAGAGAAAATTATAACATGATCAAGATGCCGATGTTCCATACCATTTAAAACAAAAGGTTAGGAATGAAGCCCCCATTAATACTGGAAAGAACAATAACAGCTTGTGAATTTGAGAAATGTATTTTCCTGAAAAACTGTTTTAAGAGAAAGATTTTATAATTTTCAATCAACTGGCTACTTAGAATGAATGAAGTGTTTCCTTAAAAGTAACAGCTAATATTACCATTACCATAGGTTGCAAAAGACACGGATATTCTCATTTGCTACAGATTGAATAGCTAAAATATACAAAGTGTACCAAAGTGAACACAAAATTTCTCAAGATTCCAAATCTAGTCCCCAACAGTTACCCTCCTTCTCAGTCATGGTATTCCACCTGCACAGATCTTTGAGTAGCCAAGAGACAGCACTAAATTGCAGGCACTACTAATGCTCATTAGGCTTTCACTAAGGCTTGCAATGGTCTTCATCAAAAAATATTTCAAGAAATTACCCTATTTATACTTACTTACATACTTTAAACAGTTCAAATTATTAAGAGTTATTATTAACTATCTGATAATGACTTAAGATATTAGTTATTATTTGTTTATAGATGTTAGTGTCTGCTTTCCTAAACAAACAACTTTCCACTAAGGTTCAATTATAATTATCATCATAATCATTGTCAAAGTAATAAAAAAAAAAACTTACCTGTATTTCCAAAAGTGCTTTAGCTTGTAAAATAGGTTCAATCATGTCAGCGGTACAATAAGTGACAGCAAATTCCATTAATTCAATCCTAAAAATAAAAATATAAATTTTGATATGAGCAGATTGTTTTTTACAATTTTGTTAGTTTATAGGATTTTAATGGAAGTATTGATTATAGTTTTGTGTATATGTTGAGAATACTTTGTGTATATAGTATAACTGACAAAGAAATGATATAGCAAATAATTAAGTTTTGTTTTATTCAAATGAACTTATAGAGAATTAATCTTATGAGAGAGTGAAATGTTTCTGGTAGGACAAATAGTAACTACTGTGAGAAAATGACAAATTTCTGGTTGCAGCAGTCTAGAAATGATATTAGCAAGTCAGATAGGAAACAAAGTGTAAAACTGAAATAACAATTCCTCCATTTTGGTTTATTTAATACTTTAAAATCATTTTTTAGGTATGAAGATACATTGCTTTTAGAGACAAAATATACATATTTGATTTTCATCTATTGCATTTGAATAAAGAAAACCATGAAGTATGGTTACATGAAAATCTAATACAAATTTGACTTTACTAAGAAAAATTAGTAGTAATATTTACCTCTTAAATATATTTTTTAACTTAGTGGAATATGCAACACAATAAGGTGTATTATCTAAATATTCGGAAAAGTCAGTATAGATTTGAAAATTCACATATTTACATGACTAAAGCATTTCCAATAAAAAGGGTCATATCATTGGATACTCCAAAGATCATTTGTTGTTAGTGTGATATTTAGTTCTATGACTACTGGATTTCCCTATTAATATATAAATATATAATAAAGTGTTATATACGATTGGTGCTACTGTGATTGTTGGGTTTATACTATCAATATTAGATATTTTTTAAGCATAAAAGAATAATGAATAAAACTCATAGTTGCAAACCTTGTGCCAAGTACACAATTGCCTTTCTCAGCCAAATCCATACATACACTCCAAGCTGGGGCATAACCAGTTCTCATCAGTTGAGAACAAGCACTATATGCACACATATAATCTTTGGCCTGGGAAAAAAAAATTATGATTATTTTCTTCGGTATAAGATTTTATCAAAGCTAAAAACCAATTGCTAATAATAATAAATGCTGAAATGATTAATGAAATGTAATTGCCCTAAAAAAGCAAACTGTTAAAATCTTTTTAGTAATTCATGAAAACTACATGCTTTTATATAGAAATAAACTTAGATTAATGACATAAATCTTTTAAGTTAAACTTCCACAAGAAAGTTTCACTGACAAAATATTTGTTTAGTAATAAATTTAAATAGTTACAGTATGGAATTAACATTAATTCCATTTATAATTTTACGCGCGCGCGAGTTTCCTCCCTTCCTTTCACACTCGTGCGTGTGTGCGCGTGTTTTCACCCCTACCTTTCACTCACAGCTAAACATAGCAGTAAGTCCTTTTAGCTGCTACTGATTAACTCATGATAGATTTTGAATTTTTTTCCCGCGTTTTATTCCAGCGTCTCAAACAACCAGCGTTTGCAAAAAAGTTGTTTCGGTCCTCAACCTGAGTAGACGGGACGCTCATTTATTCCGTGCCCTTAATCCATATGCGGGCCGGAATATCTTATTTTTCAACAATGTCGACTGCACCCTCTACCAAGACTTTTCTCCTTTTGAAGCTGCCAACAGGTCGGACCTTTTTCTCCGTTTTCCACTGGAAGATGTTTTTAGAGATACTTGACACTGTCGCGGCAAAAGTTCGTATGCAACTAATGGCGTATTTTATCCCTCGACAGGGGCCTAATAAGTATAGGCAGGGATGTCCTACTGAACGAACAAATTGCTAATCACAGGTCAGGACCTTTTTTCTCCGTTTTCTACCAGAAGACGTTTTTAGAGAGACACGACACTGTCGGCAGAAACTTCGTGTTCAACAGGTGACTTAAACTTACCCCCTGGCTTCGAACCAAATAATACAGGCAGGGATAGTTTACCTTTTGAACAAATATTTTTTAAAATCTTTCTCTTTGGGCTCGCTGCAGAAATCATTCTACAAGACCATGCTTTAGTTTCTATCAACAGATGCCCCACACAGCAGTCCAGAACATTTACCAGCGGCCAATACAATATTACCTTTGAACAAAAAAACATTTTTCGTCTTTTCTCTTTGGGCTCGCCGTAAATCATTCTACAAGACCATGCTTAGTTTCTATCGGCTAGATGCCCCACACAGCAGTCCAGAACATTTACCAGCGGCCAATACAATATTACCTTTGAACGAAAACATTTTTCAAGACTCTTTGGGCTCGAAATCATTCTACAAGACCATGCTTAGTTTCTATCCTAGATGCCCCCACAGCAGTCCAGAACATTTACCAGCGGCCAATTCAATGTTTACCGAACATTCTTTATAACTCTGAACCTGTACATTAAAAATATGCATAATCACTTAAACTTAAAATATCCACAGTGAGTACTCCTTTCTATCTGTGCGCACATTCTTTTTCCGAACTGTAAAACTTTTTTTCCCGCCTTTTTGGCCATCTTGTATTTCTATTTTGGCGGAACACTTTTCATTGATCCCTACCTTGGGATGAGTTACTCGTTACTGTTTAATTAAAGTTTTGTTTACTCATGTTTTATAAACAGATGTCTTTGTCATTTTTATTTCGGCTATCTTAATATATTTTATTTTATGCACTTGTTGATTGACCCCTTTCCTCTCACTGTTCATTCACGCATTTTATTTTTTTTTCTTTGCTTGTAGACTCGGTAGTTTAGTGTGGTGTCTGGCACAAGGCCACTTAGTAATAATCCAGCACTACACCCTACCGGGTCCGCAACAACAGTTTAACAAAAGAATTTAACAAAAGTTTATATTATGACTGGTTGCATTTATTATTTAATCAATCATCATTTTCTTGTATATTCTCATGCTTATTGAATACAGTGCAACATAGAAAAAACAAAAACTTTAAATTAAAAAAAATTGCCAAAAGTTGTTTCATCATACAAAATAATTATGGTTTCCAGCAAATAGTCCACTGTGCACATACTTGCCAAAATAAAGCTTCATACCATATCAGGCAAAAGTTAAAAATTATATTTTGAGTAATTTAATATTGTTTGAAAGAAAAAGAGATTACAGAATTTTTTGTAAACATTATTCACACAAAATTACAAACATAATTAAACTGTTTTAAAAATTAATGTTTACATTTTCAAAACCAAATATTTATTAACTTATAATCACAGATTGCATTATTATCTATTTTGGAACAATATCAAGTAGGGTTTCCTTTATTAGCAATGTAGACTCTGTGCTATCATAAGTAAGATTAATTCAACACAGCAAAATTTTTGATTCACTGTACTGATTACATGTATAATGACACAACATATAATAAAAATACATTCTTTTATGTGCTGTGTCTCTTCAGTATGTAGGTGTGGCAGACATTAGACAGAACCTGGGATGAGCACAACTGGTCGCAACTTACCTTGTCCCCGCCAAAAAAGAGCCCGTATTTGCTTAGCATGTAAAGCTACTGCAGTTGAAATGAGGGAGAGAAAAAAGCACTTACCGCTCTGCCGTAATCCATCCTCGGCCAGATAATGTAAAAGAATGAGGGGGGACTGGCATCGCATTTTTATGCAATAACGATGCAATGCATTATGGGACATGGACACAATGAATTATGGGATCACATGAAGACGCAAGGGATTATGGGTACATGAACAACTATAAAAACAACTACTTTTTTCCGAGTCGGGGAGTTCTTCGAGGGACGTTCACGGTTGACAGCTAGAACGGGCAGTTAGTGTGATTTGGAGACAGAACTCAAGAAGGAACGACTCAAGTTTGAAATACCAGCTGGAGAGCTTGAATTTACTCGCTGGTTACTGTTTTCTTCATTCGCCTCAGTAGGCGATCATAGCCCTCCACCTCCTCCTGTCCCTTGTAGCTCTTAATAAGTTTTGTCTTTTTGTTATTTCTCCAAGACTCTGTTCCACTATCCACTTGCTCAAGCTCATTAAATATATTAGTGTTGGTTTAAAACTGGGAGGAATGACTGCAAAATACTTTCCCCTCCCCTTTTATAGGCAGAAGCACACAAATGCATGCTGGGATTTTTTCATAGCATAGGCTGGTTCATGTTTTCATCTAACTCAGTCTGTCTTGAGTCAGAACACTATGTTTGTTTGTCCGAACTTGCTTTTGTGTGTCAATGCCAATTCTTAGTTTGTGAACTTTTTGCCTTATTACTGTTAATTTGCCTTGCATATAGTTTGCTATTTACATTATTCAGACTATTGTCCTCATCTTTGTTGCCATATTTATCACAACGTTTTGGCCATTGTACGCTCTGGCCGTCTTCAGGTGGTTGGAATGTCGAACTGAACCCTTTATTTCGCTCACTGGGGTAGACTGTTCTAGTTCCACATGCCATGTCTAATGGATGTCAGTTATCAGTTATCTCCTGTTAATTCCCCTCTCCTTGAGGACACATGGCACAGTGGATAAAGGTGTTAGTTAGATCCAGTGACAGGACCCAAAGAGTGTAAGTTCAATACCTGGTTAAGGCGGTGGAGAACTTTGCATTTGACCATGGCCACCCACTCTACAATTAGAGTGTATATATAAGTTTCTAGTAAACTACTTATAAAATCTGTCTATATGTAAATAATGTACTTATAAAATGTTCAAATTCATTTGTGAAAATTTACATGAAAGGAAGGTTTTTTTTATTAGCAATGACCTGTGTTTGAAATTTTGCATTACAGAAGTGGATTTAATATTTCAAGTTTTGGTGGTTCAAGTGTTTAGTAATAAGATCTTTGCCTCCAAAAAAGAGTATTTCAAAAAGAGTATTTTAGGTTCACCCCAAAATGAGAAAGCTGAAGAGAAAAAAAGTTTGATTTGTTTTTTGTTTTTGTTGCAAACTTTGAGAGGTATGTAATTAACTGTTAGGAGAGGGTGCCTATTGCAAGTTACATTTTTATGGGAAGCAGCTAGATTTCAGGAATTGACCAAGTAACCACACTTCTTCTCTGAATATTTTTATGAGGTATTCCAACTTGAGTAACCACTCAACATAATAAACAAACCTGTGATTTAAAAACAGCCATTCTACCATTTCTTTTTTAACAACCATTGCAATCCACTTGTCTTCATCTTTTCTTTATGGTAACACAGCATAACCTGCTGCAGCTTTAGCCAATACCAACAAGTGTTGATTGGTGCTTGGATGTTTGTGTTATATTGTCACATGCAAGATAGAATTCTGCTTTTTAAATCATTAAAAATGAGAATATCAAATAGAGCTAACATGAAACAAAAGAAATAAAAACAATATATTTACCACCTACTCTCACTTCTTGCAAATGTGATATTTCAATATTATGGTAACAGAAGGCACTTATTGGTCTTTTGACCAATAACAGAATTAATACAGGAAACTAGGTTACATGAACAGTAAATATATAATGTCACAAAACTTCAAAGTGACATTTAATAATTTAAAAAATTAAATTTTGCAATTTTTTTACTTAAAATGTTTGTCAAACATTGAAAATCAGGAAAGAAGGAATTAGAAATTGTCAGAAATGAATTACTGATAGAATAGGAAAAAATTATTTTAGTGCTTTAAAAGTCCTTGAGATATATGCTGATGTATGGTTGTAAAACACCATATAGAAGGGCTGGTATTTAGTTAATAAAATAATTGGTCCAAAGCGCTGCCAAGATTCAAATTCAGATTTAACTGTAGAGTATGGTTTGTTGCTACAGAGCACAATGATCTTTTTCTGATAAACTTGTCAAGCTAATAGATGGTTCTGAACTGAAATGTTCACCATCTGTGTTGCTTGAAAAGGTGGTTTTCATGAGATCATGCTAAAATCAAAAAAGCCCATTCTTTCAAAAACTGGACAAGTCTAAAATACCTCAAGTAAGTTATTTAGATTTGGTTGATAGCCAGTACATTTTCTCACTGAACAGAATTGTAAAAGAAACATTTTATGATTATTTATCCCTGCAATGATATTAATATTCAGGACTGTCCGAGATCCTGATGAGTTTTCTGATATGAATGAGCAAAAAGGATCCATTCAGCAAATGCCTAAGATGTGAATAAATGATTAATGACATTGACCTTTATAAATTTGAGATACCTAAGTCAGTCTCTTTAGATAGACTCTCTTAGTTTCCTTACATACAGTCAGAATTATTGATCCTGACCCTCAGATAAAATACAAACCATTTTGTAGCAGTGCTCAAGCTTATCTCCATTAATGTAACATCTTCAGTATATGTCATCCAAATTGCAGGAAGTAAAAGAATTAATATGAACAAGGAGTAGTCAAAAATAATCTGCACTTATTATTGGTGAATACATATCTGCATGCACTCTTTGTTTATTCTTCTTTTTTATACTGTATTTTTAATACACCTCTGCTTTGTAACCTGTATCAGAAACTGTCTTAGAATACACAATAGCAATGAAACCTGAACAACATACATTAGACAGGAAAGCTACTTGGAAAGCTTCCATCTCTGCTACCTATGACATATCCTCAGCACCATATAGAAATAAAGTTACTAACACTGCTGTGATGTAGCAAACATACTCTTGTTGCATGTATATTCTCCTCTGTGAATGTCATCTTTGTTGGCTGGATCATGTAGATTGAATGAATGACAATTGTATACCAAAAACATGTACAGTGAACTGGCCATGGGACACTGTCCAGCAAGCCATACTGAACTATGTTTCAAGGACAACTACAAGAGGAATTGGAAACTCACAGGCACTGACCCTGGTAGCCTGGAAAAACTAGCAGATGATCACAGTGCCGACACCATGCTGTTCAAGGAGGATTCATGAAGGGTGAGAAAAAGTGAAACCAAAAGCTAGAGATCAGAAGAAAATGAAAGAAACAGAGCATTCCAGCTGCAGAAAAGATTGCCATGCAAAGATTGAACTGTTAAGCCATTCCAGATGCTACTGACAAAAGGACTGAATTTTAACCAAACAAAGCACTTCCATTAACTCATGAGATAAATGGAAACCTACTACTACTATGAAAATATCCAATTTCCAGACATGGTGGTGGTAACATGAAATTTCTTTGAAAGTACTATGGTATTTGTGAAGCCTTGATTTTGTTACCTTTTTGCAATACTATCTGAACTGAATGTTATTTTTTTCCAAAATATCCTTCATAAAATATGAACAAATCTCACTTATTTAATTTTTTTAAAATTCATTATTATAATTTTTTTCTTTGGTTAATCATATTTTAGAAGCTTGGTGAGAGAGTGAATTGGCCATTAAATTACTTTTTAGAGAATTAAAAAAACGTTTTTTAGTTAAAAGATTGAATAGAATATATAAAAATCTAATGCCAAAATACGAATAACACAAAACTAATTTTCATCTTTCATTGCTTTCTTGCTATGATATATCAGTTGCATTTCTCATAGCAAATTTATAGAAAGAATAAGAAGAGAAGAGTTTAAAATATTAACATTTAAAATATTAATTTATTCATTTAGTTTATTTTACATAAAAATAATTACAATTGAAGAATAAATCTTAAAGTTTCCTAAGATGAGATAAATTAACTTAAAATTAATAAATTAATGTTTGTTCTTTAAATTTTACCTTTACTCTTCAATTTTTCATATTTGCCTATTTACTTTAATGATTTCATTGCTTTTTATATAGAATGACATCTTTTATGTAAAGTTTCAATGGAAATGAAAAATTTCAGGGAATATAAATGAATTTGTATCAAATGACATGAAAAATAATTTTTGTAATCAAGCAATTTACTTACAACAAGTGCCATTTCAGCAATTAATTGGTGCACATTTCCATCAATTTCAGCTTCATTTTCAGATGCATGCAAAAACTTAGCCAGTTGTAATAACTGAAATAAAAATAATGTTAAAGAAAAAACAAATTTGTTTAAAGCAATCTCCTTTTTTCAGTGGCTTTTACAAAGTTTAAAAATATTTTTCATATGCATTATAATATAATTGAAAGCTACAGATCTAAATTTAAAAGAATTAAATAAAAAAGTATCATCAAAAGAGCAAATAAAGCATCAAGTAGATTCACAGCTGCTTTTTTAGTTGCTCATTGTTTTTGGAGACTATTTCTATAAACACTAAAATAACTAATTCCTACAACTTGATATAATATGAAAGTAGGAGTTTAACCTGTAAGAAGTGAAGCATACAAGATTCACTATATAATGTTTTTAAAAAAATAATTATTCCAAGAATTTTACTTCAATTGTTTTGAATACTTATCGTCAAATGATAAAATAATCATCTGAATTACAAATGAAGAAATGTATGCCATTAACTCACCTTATCGGATTGTCTATAAGCATTTGTTCGGCTATTTATAGACTCCTTTACTAAATCCAATCTGTTTTCTTTGAGACGAACTGGAAAAAATGTTTTTATTTCAAACAGAGTTCAAGTAGCTTTGTAAAATGCAACTTAGAATATATATTACAAGTTTGAACAAGTTCCTCATAATTTAATTAAAGCATTTCAAATGAAAACAATCTGTTATAATTACAATACTTACCTTGCAAAGGTAAAATGCTGACTCCAAATTCTTCTAAAATGGATAAAGACTCAATTAAATCCAACTCTTTTTGAATATCTTCTGAAGAGTCCTTTATCAAATTTAGACAGGTCCTAAAAATACAAATCAGGAAAAGTCAGTTTGCAAACTAAATTTAAAGATTTTTCAAAACAAATTCTCAAACCATAAGAATTTATTATATTATTTTCTCTATAATCATTCAGTATTTCTCACAGCAAAAACCTTTTTCTCTCTAAGAAATATCAAATCGAAAGGCTTTAACTGAATATATACATTAATATTTAATTTCTATACTGACAAGTTGCATAATATAATCACAAAAAAAATTCCAAAAAATAGTAGAAAATCTTACTTGGCCATGTTCATTGAAAAATGACTGAAATTTGATGCTGAGTTGAAATACTCTTGAGCTGCATTCAATACCAAATGTACAGATTGTTCAAAAGACACCTTGACTGTAATATCCACATGCTGCAGAAATTTAGGTTCATTTTGTTGTTGCGTAATGTAGTGTTTAGCCAAGTTGATTACTTTTATATCACTTGAACATAACATACTAGCAACATATAT